CAACAATGAAGAACATTACTGCCTTTTTATATAGTCTATTCCAAAAACAATGAATTTTCTTCTTGCAAGGAGTAATGGATCAGACAACTCTGCCGCAAAGTCACAGAAGTGACAATTTTCCTTCGACGAAATGCCCATTTTGTTTATTTGACTACAACTTTTGGTAGAAAAATTGACAGTTTATATGCTTCCAGCAATAATTTCGTTTGGCAAGAAAATTAAAAGTAGTACCAGAGAACGTATATCATATGATATGATATATCATTTGATATGTGTGTATGTGATCATTTATATGATTTGATATGATATATCATATTATATACGTTCTCTGATTGCTTTCTTTGCGTGCAACATCTGTCACAACTATGGTAGGGAGACACATGTGAATGCTGAGCATTACCCAATCAACAAAAGTTCTTGGGTTTTAACCAGATCTATATATTTCTTCCTCTTAAAAATATGGCAACCCTAGTCCAAATTGTACACTTATTTTTATATATAAGGTGTGATTTAATACAATGTTTGATCTTTCTAACAAAACTTTGAACAGAAAAATTTATCAGAAATACTTTTTTGTATGCAAATTATTGGCAACCCCAAAAAAATTATATACGATATTTATATAGCAATCTGCTGTTTCAACAGCCTTTACAGAAGCACCATATATTCGTATTTCATTGAGATTAATTTTATTTTTTAAAATGTGGCAACCCTGGTCTAAAATGACATTCTTACTTCGTTAATATAAAATTATTCTAATACAAATTGTGATATTTTCAACTATTGAATAACTTTGAATAAAAAAGTTTTCAAAAGTATTACCATACAAATTAGTTGGCAACCCAAAAAAAAGTATGTGTCAAATTATTTATTTATATAGTTATCTGCTTAATCTTTTTTTACAGCAGCACCATACATTTTTTATTTTATTGAGACAAAATTGTTTTCAAAATATGGCAACCTTAGTCCAAAATATAATTCTGTGTTTTTTACAATTCATATTTGTGCAATAAAAATTGGGATATTTCCAGTAATCAAAGCTTTGAACAAAGGAATTTATCAAAAATATTTGCATACAAATTAGTTGGCAGCACTAAAAATTTATATTCATATACTTATTTATGTACATTGAAATGTGCTGTATTAACTTTTTTCTAGAAGTACCATGTATATTTATTGCAATGAGTTTCAATATTTTTTTAATATGTGGCAACCCTAGTTGAAAATAGTTCTTTGAATTTCCATAAAAAAACTATTTTAAAAGAAAAATGCAAACAACAATGATATTAGTTCGAGGTCATGTACAAAAATAATTGCATGCATAATCAAACCCTTCACAACAACAATAACCACAACTAGAATATGGCAACTAATATAACTAACTAACAAGTGAAAATCTGAAAATCTGAAATTTGCCAAACTGCACAGCTAAAAAGGTTACACTTGAAACATACTGAAGTAAAAACTAAATGAAAAGTACAATTTATGTGCAAATGAGGCAACAACAACAACAGCGAAAGCTGCTTCTGCAGCTAAGCAATGCAATTTCGAACAAAATTACTCCACACCACCGCACTTCTTACTCACTCCGTTGGTCATTTAGCAAATGCAATATATATGAATGAAAAAAAAACAACAATAACGAAAATCACAAAAAAAAAACTCGAAAGTTAGAAAAATATTAAAATGAAACGTGGCAAAAGGAAACAGTTCTGATGAAGACAACAGTCGGCAGTCGAGCTAACCTTCCTGTTGCTCTGCAGCAGCAATAGGCTGCTACTTCTTCCTTCTTCTCACAGCCTGCTTCGGTATCCTTGAGAGTTTGCAATTCATTGTGGGCGTGTGGCGTCGGTAATGTTTTATAGCCCACTGTTACTTAAATTTAGTTGCCACAAAAGTTGGCAGAAAAATAGTTACAACGATACCGTTACATATGGTGGAATGTGCATGTGTATGTATGTATGTGGGTTGATGTTTTTCTAAAGTTTGATGCCATTTCTTTGGAGAAGTCCTTGGCAGCCTTGATAGAGTAACATTGGTAGATCTCTCTGATGCACAGACACGTGTGCAGAGGTAAAGGCCATTCGTATTTAGCCTACAATGTACTTCGCTAAATATACATACATATGTATATATTATATACTACACACTCACAGTGAAAATTTTAGGAATCCAAATTATTGTGCTTCTCTCAGAAAATTTATTTTTTATTTATCTTAGATCTGATTTTCTGGGTGTAGATCAATAGTTATTTTAAAGCGGTTTCTGCCCATAAACCCCGCGAAACATTAATTTATAAAGCTCTACCAAAAATGTAAATCCAAATCTTAATTTATGTAGTTCTGAGCTTTAGTAAGATCTAAATTGTGTAAGATTGTGCTTACAACTTTTAATTTTTTTTTTCTTCAAGCTCTCTAGCACTGCCTCATAGATTGGCTAACAAGTTCTTAAGAATAACATTCAGAATTCAGTTACCAATTATATTTTCCTTATAAAAATATACGAAGTCTAAACAGATTTCGTGCAAACAGACGATGGTTTGTGTAAGAAAAGACACATATATAAATTTATCAATTCTTATGCTTTGTAGATAACTTTTAGACTCTAAAGACTTTTATAGTTTCCTTTTCAAACATCCATCCTTTCTTGCTGCCATCGAAAAGCAATGTTAACTCAAAAATTTGCTCGTATACTTTCCGCCCCTTTACCCACAATTTAACAAACTATCCAACTTGTCCATATTCAAGCGCTCAGACATGCAACTCTGTGCATGCGAATGCGCAAACATTGAGCACTGACGCATAACGTCGACATATAAGTTTATATATATATTATATATATATGTATATTAGGATGGAGCGAAAACAAAATTTTTTTTGCTTAGCCTGAGGGTAAAATTTGTAGATTATAAGAAAAGAAAATTTTTGGAAACATCTATAGGCGGCCCACTCACTTTTAAAGTAATTATCAAGTTAAAGTTTTTTTTTCTCAAAAAAAATTGTTTTTTGATTTGAATAAAATTACCGAATATGATGGTTTTTGACTCAAAATTTATTTTAACGCTTAAGAAATGCATGTAGTCATTTAAGACTTTTTTGTTTAAACTCCAATAATGACCACAAACATTTTTTTTAAGTTGATAACTTTTGATTGACCAGAGAGGGGACTCTTCACAGCTTCTAGAACGCTCATCAAAAAATTTTTACGAAATAAAAATTTTTACTCCAAATTTACTTAAAAAGTGAGTGGGCTGCCTTTGATGCCATTTCTTTGGAAATGCCTTTAGATGTTAAAAAAATTTTTTTTTGTTTCCAAAAATTTTTCTTTTTTATAATCTACAAATTTTACCCTCAGGCTTCGCAAAAACAAAATATGTTTCGCACCACCCTAATATATACATATATATATATATCTACACAGAAGTATGAGCCCACTAAAGCAATCATATAATTGCAGTTTCCAGGGCCACTCTACGCCCAATTTTGCCGTTATCTTCCAGGTAAACAACTCGAAACGATTTTCATTCGAAAGTACTACAACTCGTCGCTTAACGGCTAGCTGCCTGATCGCTTTGCTGCCCCAGGATACTGCTACCACTGCTACCTACATTTTTCAGCCATTTCCATTTGCAGCATCGACTCAAACGACCTACTTGCATGTGGGCAGAGGGGAGGCAGCATGTAAAAAACGACCTCTTTATATGGACTGTCACATGTACACACACGATTTACCTTCCTCTCTGCATATTCGCTGTCGTCCTTTTTCTCGTGTTTGTTTTGTCTCGTCGTTGGTGAAAATGAAATGTATACCCATTAGGCAAAATAGAAACACAAAGCGTCGTAAAGCTTCGCTCGCCAATTGCGTTTTCCGCAGCAGAGTATTTGACAATTCTACGAGCATAACAACAACAGGAGCAAGCGGGTTGCTTTCAATTCGTTAATTGTTGTGTTGTGCTGTGCTGAGTGTGGCTCAGTGAGACAATGAACTTTTCAAGCAAATATGTCCACCGCCATTAAAGCTTTGACGAAGATTTTAATCTGACTTCAATACGTTGAAATTTTTTGATTGAAACTCATTTCATTTTAGGCTGCATAAAAAATAAGTCTGAAGTGGATGCTTCATTTTTTAAAAAGAAATATTTCACAAATCAAAGATTTCTGGAAAGTTTGGAGAACTGATATGAATTTCTTGAAATTATTATTTTAAACCACCTTACCTCGTCAGTATATGTTACTAGACTTAGATTCTCTAGAGTTCTAGCTATCTTCATGATATCAAGTTACTCTTTCGTTCTTCCAAAATTACTACCAGGGGACGATTACTAATACTACTAATAATAAGCGATTTATATAGTTTGGTATTGGTTCTTTGAGAGAGGACTTTTCAATTGCCTACTCAGTTCAAAGCAAATCAAGGGATGGCGCCTTGTGTAAAAGTGTGTGAAGTTTTTGACTGCCATTCACCTGAGAGTGGTCAGAAATCCGTAAAAATAATTTGTTTAAAACGATTATTATCTAATTAATCTTTCGAAATTAGTTCAGTTTTTCTTCGAGCACTTTCCCAATTCTTAACTATTTTGTTGTCTGTTTAAGACTCTGACCTATGTTTGTGCTTCCGTTGAGATGTGTTTTGTGAGAGAGTCAAAGAGAGACCACCTTACTCGTCATTTTCGTTGGAGAGAGACAGAGACATAGTGAAAGGGAGGCACTCAATAAACCTATTAAAAGCTTTGACCCTTTTTCATATGACACGGATTTTGTTGTAACCTTTCGACAGATACTGTTATAAATATCTTGCCTAAATTCAGAAATTTAGCATACAAGTCTGTCAGAAGTATAACAGTATGTATGAGTGAGCTATATTTTAGCTCTTGGTTGTCATAAAGAGTACGTGGATATCAGTTCGGCTTAGAAAGTGACCGAGGTACTAAGCTAGTGACAGCTTAAAGTTCTATTCAATTTTAACTCTTCTGTGTTTGTCCCTCGCACGTTAAAATAATATTTTTAATTTGGTCCTTTTTTCCATCTTAAACGAATCATTTATTATGAAACACCATCAAAATAACTTGAAAATAATTTTTCTTAACCCTTTAATTCTTTGTAGTCTAATTCTCCTCATATTTCTTTGCACGCACCAGTATTTTCACAGTACTTAAAGGTTTATCCATATGAAACGTCGGCCACATAACACCGTCATAGCTTTCCGTCAATTGCTTAGAGAACGGACTGTTAAGATTTCTAGAAGGAAGAAAGAAAAATTTCGCATTCCAATCGAGGTTTAATAAAATAAATGATAAGCAATCACGCACCCGATTTCACAATCCTTATACCACCAACCAGCTCGCATTTTCTGCGCACACTTCCCCTCATTATCCCTGTCGTATGTGCTAAACTTTTGTCCCTTGCTATCTTTCAAACTATCACCTGCCGTTCCACCTTTTAAGCCCAACAAATTCAAAGTGTAGTTTTGTTCTTCATCCGCAATGCTGAAGAGGCTGTAGCGATACCAACGAAAGTTGTTATTAAAATCTAACAGCAAAATGGTCATCTCATGCAACATGCTGTGTGTAATGGCCCAAATCTTCTCTAGACCCAACCAATAACTGCCATCCATTACACCGAAACCTGCGCGATAATCCGCCCAGCTGCGATTGAAGTCGATGAGCGGATCATCGAAGTCACGTTGTTGTATTACCAACCAACCGTGCTTATCATCATCCATAACTTGACAATAGATCATGAAAGGACGTTGACTATATAATTCCACACGTACCAAGTAAACACCGGAATTGTTAACGTTAGCGCAGTCCGGTTGGATTCTGAAAAATGGTGAGGAGTTAAAAACTTTGTTTATAATTAAATGCAAATTGGATAGGGTAACTCTTTTTCTAGCAAATCCGAAAGAACGCGAATAAATAAGTCAGAATAAACCGGCATTTGTCTCAGATAGCTTAACGATCTAAAAAAGATCATAGATATTTATAGACAATCATATAACAGGCGGTCAACCTATTATCTTATTGACGTAACGCTTCTTTTTGCGAATAGTTCACGGAAGAGCCTAGGCCATATACTCATCGGCCTCTCGACTCTCAGTCGACCATGCATCCTCCCTTTCAGCAATCATTCGTTGCAAAAATGTACTGATCTTTCAAACGTTGTTTGATAAGTCCTGCGAGTTGCTATTTTTTTAGGAAAAGAGATTCGTTTGTCCATGTTCCACAGTAATGAATACCAACTTGGAATAACTTTTTGAACAAAAGTTGTGGTATAATTTCGGAACTAATCGGTTTGAAGAGACGTTATCGATCTTGTCATACTTTCACGCTCAGACTATCTTTCTGTATAAGAGCGTCCTTCGGTATTGTGTCTGCATTCAATAATAGAAGTGACAATTTAATTCACCAAGAATCCGAAAATTAGTATTGCCGAAATATTAAAATAATCGGTTTGCATTTCAATCGCGATGTTTGAATTACGACCCCCAGATTATAAAGTCATATCAATAGAACTACGGCAAAAAAGTTAAAAGCTCAGTGAATCGACGAGTACTTAGAAATTATATATTATATATATTATGTAAGGCTGAAAGGCTTATACACTCTAGTGGTCATCCTTGTATGCCCTCCCATGTTCTCTTCAAAGTTATACTTAGTGCTGATGTGGAGTCCGTTTAATGTAAAGTTGGAACATTTAGCTCTTAATGCAGCTCTACTATACTTAACAACGAAAAATTCGTCAAGGACGCTAGCAAGTTTATCGCAATATCTGGGACAGTAGCCGCAGAGGCTGGTGCTGGTCGCAAGGAAGGACTCTGTATCCAAAGCGGACGCTGATATGAGTTGGATTCTTTTGACCAATCAACTCAATGTAAACATAATACATCAAAAGATTCGGAAAAGTGTTCAGTCAGCTGGGATTGATTGCTATATTATCCTTAGTAATATTAAAGGAGCTCGAAGCTTATTTCCGAGCCACCTCGATTTAACTTTTTGATAAAAATTTGTACTAAAAACCACCAGACATTGAAGAAAATTAATGTTCTATAAATACTAACCTGTATTTTATATCATTTTCCACATTAGCGTCTGTAGCTTCTTTATCAATCGAGGCGTTCTCAGTGCTTGTCTTAACGGAATCATTTCTAAAGAAAAAATAGTTAAAAATGTAGTTATTCCCAGTTGAGGATGTCAGTGCTTCCAAATTATTTAGAGGATCTGCAATTAGCTGACTTTCCGATGGACGCAAAATGGTAGCAATGTTTGGAGTGGAAGTTGTTAGGGCTGCAGCCATTGCGAGCTCTATAAATGTGAAATGGGGATACAACTTTAAAGCTCTCGAAAAGCATTTTAGTATTTTTTTAAATTCTTTACTTTACCGGTTGCATTTGCCAGGACGGTGACTTTTGGAGTACTAATCGTTACAGCCACAGCCGGCTTCGTTGTTGCGGAATTTGTATTTACAACTGTAAATGTATTATTCAAGCCCGACTTCATAGCGGCCTCGTAAAATTTTAAATGACTCGGCGGCAAATATGAAAGCCACCATCTCTCTTGTACAAATTCATTTGTTTCGAACGCGAACAAAGCCGTTACTAAAATTACAGCTCTAATTAACGACATAGGAAAGTTAGTGCTTGTTGCTGGTTTGTGAAGTTTTGATGTTATTACAAGTATTACTAGTATTTTTGTCGTATTATTTGTAGAATTTAGTCTTTTAGAACATTTTACTTTACTGGTTCACTTTAGAATGAAATGATTCACAACACTTTCATAGATTTTAAATTACACGAGTTGTTGTTAATATATATACCCAGATGTTTTGTTATTTTTTTTACAGATTTAATTAGCGATGTTGATTGAAAACTAAAAACTTCGTGTACGAGGGTAGTTTAATAAGTCAACGATTTTTTTGATTTTTTGTGCGCAATTCAAAGGCAACACTCCGTCCCGAAGCTAAAATTTCGTAATTTGACAATGATCAATTGCAATCCGAACGAAATAAGATAGAATTTTTAAATCCTAACCAGAAGATTCACCACGAAATTTATAGAAAAACTCTCAAAAGAACGAAACAGGCTACGAATTACAAGTACCAACTCAATCCTTAAGTGGTTATATCCACTTGCAAGTCGGAAAAAAGCGTGTTTTGTCAATTCCTTTTGAAGAAGCATTTTATTTAATGAATAAATAAAAAAAAATACATTTAAATAAATAAATGTACTTTAATAATAATGATTTTGTAAAAATTTGGATTCTCTTGAATCCCGTAGCTGAACTTCAGCAGGAAAAGATGTATGGCGGTGCTGAAGATTTTTCGGCTTAAAATTAGCTCAAATTCAAAATTCAAAAAAAAAAATAATAATTACTATTATAGCTGAATACAGGTAATGTTGGAGGGACTCAGTAAAATTTTGGTTTAAGACAAAATGTCGGCTCCCAAAAAAGAGTAGTTTTGGTGAAAAAATGTACATGTCAGAGTAGAAATTAAAAAAAAAAATCGAAATTAATATCAAAAGTCTTATTTCTTTCTCAATATATCTAAGAAGTCTTGTATGAATTTGTCGGTTGGACCAGAGGGCTCAGAGTAATTTTTCGCGTTTCGAAAAAAAGGCGTTTAAAGTTTGTGTAGCCGATCACACTAAATTAATAAATTCATGCAAATCTCATATCTCCGTTACAATTTGCCGGATCAACTTCAAATTTTCGGAGAATATACTGAAATATATGATCATTCGATATACGTATGTCTTAATAAAATAAATATTTTTTGAAATTCTCAAGTGGATATAATTTTTTTAAAGCAGCAGCACTCTAGTTAAACTCAATTATAGAAGACATAAAGGAATTCCTGATTATGATGAATTTTATCTATAAACCAATTTCCAATTATAAAACTAAATTTATAACTTTTAGTAAAAGAATTGCAATACCGTTAACTTGGCACTAGACCCTATGTAACCGGAATGTACCCAGATTTATATACTACCAAGGACGTACTTAGAAGACAGCAAAAAGTATCTGTTCTTCAGTTAGTTTTGCGTTTTCAAAGGGCGGATCTCTCAATCTCAATGATTTTACATATGGACGCTGAGAAAATTATTATAAATATAAATGAACAAAAGGAAGTTAGGTATGCAGTTTGAGTTAAGGACATTTACTATATAATAAATCCAAACTTGTACTTAGTCCACCTTTCGCAGCATTAATTTTATCATGTAAAGTTTCTGCTCGAAAAGGGGGTGGCAACTTATTGGTTAACTCAACACCATTGCTTTTTGAAAAAAAAAATATTTTTTGAGATTAGTTAGATTAGATTAGTCAGATTTATATTTCAACCCTGAACAGGGTATATTAAGATTCCCACAAAGCTTTTAAACACAGAAGGAAACGTCGTAGATCCTCTAAGGTATATGTATATATTATATAAATGATCAGCGTGACGAGCTACACGTCCTTTCCTTCCTAAAAAGTTTCTTATTGGTTGAAACCGCCGATATAGGAACACTATAAGATACATATAGCTGCCACACAAACTGACCGATCAAAATAAAGTACTTGTCTGGACAACTTTTTTATTTGACAAGATATCTTAATAAAATTCGGCACAGAATATTTCCCAAAGCAACGCTACAATCTCCGAACAAATTATTCAGATCGGAGCACTAAAGCATATAACTGTCATACAAATTGATCTTTGAAATTAAGTCTTGTTAGAAAAACGTTTTAGCTTGACGATATGTTCCCACAAAATTTTTCATAGATTATTATCCAAGGCATCGTTACAATCTCCGATATTGTACAGATCGGACCACTATAGCGTATAGCTGCCATATAAACTGATCAATCAAAATCAAAATAAAGAACTTTTTATACCATTTTATGCTATAATAAATGTACTTGTGAAGAGTATTATAGCTGCGGGGCAGTCGAATTAAAAGTTTTTCTTTTTTAATTTAATTTATATATATATTTTTTTTTGTTTGAATTAAATAAATAAATTAATTTAATTTTTTATTTTTTTTTTTAATTTTTATGAATTAAATTAAATTAGAATACACATAGAATTTACTTCATTCATTTCATTTAATCATCGAAATTTTTGTATTTATTTAGTATTTTTAATTAAAATATTAATTAAGTTTAATTCTTAAAAAATTAAATGATTCTTTATGTATTTCATTTGAATCAACTTAATTAAAAAAAGGTGTTTAATAATTTTTTTATAACAAATTATTTAGTTTTTGCTCAAAATTAACTTAAAATTTTTTAATTGAATTTAATAAAATTGTTTTTATAATAATAATATAGTTGATTATTATATTTTATTTACGTATTACTATTTTTTTTAAATGAAGGTACTTTAACTTTGAAAATAATTTAACTGGTTTTGAAAAAATTTGTTCATACATTTCTATACAAATTCTATAACTTTTCTTTCTTAACTCTTAACTAACTTATACATACATACATTTTCTTAAATATTTAAATTATTATCATAATTGTCAAAAATCTTATTCAATTTGCCTTCACTGTATTCACCTCATCCGCCTACGAGCGTTAGAATTTTCTTTGCATACTTATAGGCGCGCAACGCAATGTAACACCTTTACGAACACACACACATACAATATAACAACAACACGCAAAAATAAGCTCAAAATTGTTCCAACAAGTTCGATGCTAAATTTGTGGATTGTATGAAGGTACTGTGTAACGAGCGCCCCCCCCATACGAAAGGAGGTGGCGCATGCAATCCACAAACACAAAACGCCGACAAGCTTCGAACCGCACAGCGCAGTGCCCGGCAACTTTTGTACGCAACAACAAGCAAAGTAAAACGCGCTTCGTGAATTTTGTTTGTTTGTTATTTACTTGTTTGTTTGGCGAGCAGCCGAACAGCATCGTGTATAAACAAATGCATCGGCAGATCTGTGTGCGCTTATGTTGTTTGTGGATTTTCTGCACACAATCAGCGTAGGCTTTGGGCACTGTGGGCGCGTCGAACACGTTCGGGCAGCATGTTGCCTGCAACATGTTGCATTGGCGCCTGCATAGATATAAACTTTTGCTGTGTTTTGCAGTTTGTTTCTTGTTGTTTTTAACATATGACGCTCGAGTCGATTGCGCGGTGGTTAGCGGTTAAATATTTCTTTGCAATTATTTGCTATTTAGCTGTGGAAAAAAGAGTGAAAAAAGTGCAAAGTGTCTCAGATATAAATTCAAATAAAATGAAATCTGTCCTCCGTGTGATTTGTAGTGTGTGATACTTACAATAAAAGGAGCTCTTTGTATTAGCGACGAAGTTGAACAAAAGAACGCGACAGAATTTTTGGGCAAACCGTTTGTGCCAGCAACCCGGCCGCCAGCGCAGCGCTGCAGACGCGTGTGAAAAAATAATTGAATTCTGCTTTTAGCAAACAAATATGTAGTAAATGTGAAATTATGTGTTAAATCCAATCGGAACAACAAAGTCAATTAAAGGAAAGAGTGATTTTTGAAAAAGAAAAAACTTTAAATATATAAAAAAAAAATTTACAACAAATAAAAAAAAAATTTAAATAACATAAAAAAATTGAAAAAAAAATTTTGAAAATAATTTTATAAAAAAAAGTTGTGAAATAAAAAACAAAGTTTTAATAAAAAGTATTTATAAATATTTACATAACAGTTTTTAATGACCAACGTCAGTAGCTGGTACAACACTGCCATTGTGTATACAAATAGTCGCTCCTACTCCCCCTACCCCCAGCGGCAATGTCAAAGCGCTCAGTGACTTTTGAGGTCGCCTCTACTTGTGTCCGCACATAAGTGCGTGCGTGTGTTTACTGCTTGTACCACAACAACAAAAATAAGTTTTCATAAAATTTGTGGTTAGTGTTGCAACATTCTGTTGCACAATCCTGTGAAGTGTTGCAAAATCAATAGATTGCAAAACAAAATTTTATCTACACAGCTGCAACCCTCTCTGCTGCACCCACCTACACAGCTTTTTGCGAAAATAAACTACCCCCGCCCACCAATTCGCTGCGGTGCGTCTTGAGGTTCGTGGTGCAACATTGCTGTAAATAAATTTGTATGCATATTTGTTGTTGTGCAAGAAAATTAAGTTAACACACTGGTTAAAACAAACGCAAGAATAGCAAAAATCGCTTCCAAAACAACAACAATAACTACTACAACAATAGGTTCTGATAGCAACACGCAACATTCGCAAATAAAATGTCTACAACAATACAACCGAGCTCCAACATGGACACAACCACACAGCCCGAAAATACCAGCAACACCAACAACAACATCAGTAATAACACCAACGTGCGCAGTAACGTCGTCAATGTGATCCAAGTGGGTGGCGGCAGCATTGTTGCTAACGGCATTTGTGCGTGCGACGAGTCGCAGCAGGCGTGTCCAATACTAATTACCAGCACACAGCAACAGTTACACGAAAAACAGCTGGAACAACAAGAACAAGAAAAACAACAACAGCAAGAGCAACAGCAGCAATCGTTTCAGCTACAGGATATTCCCGCAACCGATAGTGGACGCGCTTCGGTAAATGAATTCGATACAACAACAACAGCGCTGGAAGACACATTACCAGTAACTGTTTTAGAGCTCACAACCACAAGTGATACGGAGCATGTGGCAAATGTTGCCAGTTTTAAAGACAATGTTAAAGAAATTCTAGCAACTGTTGTCGCCGTTGGAGCGGACAATGTGCCGCCAGCGCGTGAAAAATATGTTGCAACGGATTATTATGCTAGCAGCGGTTCACAAACCAAGTGGTATTTACGACCAACGGAAATTTGTGGTGATACGGTAAGTTGCAGTGTTGCGCCGCCGTGTATTGCTGTCAACAATGTTGTCATCATTTCAACCTCGGGTGGTACAACTTCGCAATCAACGACAGATGGCGGGATCGTAAAGTGTGCTGTTGGTGATGAGGGGTAAGTGACGTGACGATTTTTATAATAGCTGTAATTGGGTTTTGTGGCTCATAACTAAATTTCTTGAGTTACCTCATAATCAGTTCGGTAATGCACTTGTTCTTATAGCATAAAAGGATATAAAAAACTGTATCTGGACTTTGATCAGTCAATTTATATGGCTATAGCTATATACTATAGTGGCTCGTTCTAAACAAGATGTTCCGAAATTATAGCGTTACCTTGGGCAATACTCTGTGCGTGCGATTTCGTGAAGATATCTTGTATCCAGCGTTTTTTCGAATCCTCGAAGCATTTAAAAAAAATAATTTTTTGTGATCTTTTCCTCCTTCAAAGCAGTTTTTATCTCCTCAATGGCAGCGTAGCGTCATCCTTTCATGGGCCTGTTCAGTTTTGGGAACAAAAAATGTCACAGGGGACCAGGTCTGTGGAATACGGTGGCTGCGGCAGCATTAATGTGTTGTTTTTGGCCAAATACGAAGTTTGTTCGCGTGCTACGCGTTTTGATTTTAAGTTGCACCATGTCCTAAAAGGGCTCTAGAAGCCGATGTGGATAAAATAAGGTGTTGGTCGATGCAAATCGTCAAATTACAACTCGAGAGACTCATTAAATAAATGAAATTACTTTAAACGACCCAATAATAATGTTATCGTTAGCGATCAAAGTATCGTGCAATCGTTAATATGGCTTATTCTGTCATATCATCTGTTGCGCTTCTTTCTAGTTTTTTCATTAGCTACTGTGTCACTCAAACTCACTGAAACCTGCCATTCACAACTTAATATAAAAAGTGAATTTATAAATAATTTGTTCTTTAAAGCTTTTGTCTTCCAAAGCAAAAGATGCTTTTAATTTTCAGAAATAGTTAGTATTTCCAGCACATTTACAAACGGACATATGTATATCGCCCTTCCTTGTTTCGATAACAAGCACCAACGTTAGTTGCGGTAACGTCGTTTGATCGATAACACCGATAGTAAGAAAAAAATCATATTATATTTCCTGCAACGAATTGGATCCTTCGAAGCCTAGACAAGATCATATTTAGAAAATGATATTTTTTTCTTATGAAAATTAGTGTTCTTGTGCCTAGTTGGCGGAACAACTAGCGTTTGGTATAAAAATCAATATTTTTCTATAAAAACTTGGTTAATTAGTTTTTCGAACTTCTCTCATGCTTGATATATAGCCAAGATCTATAGCTGTATTTCTTAACTGCAGCTGTGAATACTTTTGGTAGAACTTTTTCGAACTACGGTGGAGTCTTCATACCCATAATCAATGTAATATTTCTCTTCATATTTAATTAACAGAAAGCTCGCCGTGAGTCCCTAATTGATAATTTTACTTTAAGTCACAATTCAAATATTTTATCCAATAAGTTTTTAGACTTGTAAATTAACCTTTTTTGCATACATATAGTCTACTAAATATTGTATGTCATCCTGGTTTCATTTACTCATCATAAGTTATAATTAATCTCTCATATTCTTTTTTAACACTTTGCAACAAAATTGTTCCCCGCACACCATCGCCCCTACCATGCTAAAATGTTTGTCCTACATAATTATATTCGTACATAAGTTTATGTATATGTAGGTAAACTCAATATGTGCACATTGCTGCTATCAACCACAAAATTGCATAACCGTTGAAAATTCGAAATTGCTTCTATCCTCCTGTCTTCCGACTGCACCGCGCATTGTATATAGTCAAGCCACATACTTATGTATGCACATAAATATTGCATATCAACTGCTGCCAGCCAGATAATGATCAAAAGTCAACGTCATTATCATCAGCAGCGATGGCCATTCCGCCCTTCTCTGTGCATACAGAATGAAGAATGACACTTGAAATTGCAATTGAGGTGGTTGTTTGTTGTTTTAGTTTGTAATTCGATTTTTATTCTCATTTCTTTTTGCTTTATGCTTCATTTATAACTCTGTTTGCTGTTGTTGTAAGTTTGTATATAATGCTCATCACTATTTGTTCAGCAATTTGCGGACATTCGTTGACTTCGGATCATTGCATTCATTGTCGTGCTTGCCAGCCGAATGACGTTTATGTAGGTTATGTACGAGAAGAGTTTGTGCTCAAATTCATATTTCATGTGTTGCATGCCAACATTACTGCTGTCCTTGCCCGCTTTTTTTTTTTTGTTGGTTATTTTTCGCATTACATTTTTTTATGTTTTTTTCCTCCGTTATTTTCTGCCTGTAATGTAAAGAGCTGTTTATTATTTATATACATACGTAATGTTTATATATGCCACACCTCTTACTGCCTCCCCTTTTAGTTATTATATTATTCCATGTGCGCTCATTCAAAATGCGAAGTAGATCGTGAAAATTCCAACCAGTAAAGCACCCTTTCGCATCCTTGACTGATTGCAACTGTTACAATTTGCTCAGTTTTATTATCATGTTAATCAGTTCCCATCATAACGGTTTAACGCTTAATGTGATTCGTAACGATTGCTCTCCGCGCTCTCTTGAGCGATTAACCGCTTCATCTTCGTTACTCCTACTCCAGATCAGATAATACATTTTGAAGTGCCGTCAAGTGTTTTGTGTTGTTGAACTGATTAAATTGCCACTTCCGTTATCACATCACATGTCAGCACAATCTACATTCGAGTTCTTTGTTCTCTCTTTTCCTCTTCCTCTTCCTCGCTTATTGAACATCTGTGTTTGGTATTATCGGATAATCGTTTTAATTGCCTGTAAATAATTGGATTACATAATTTTTCGTTTTGTGGTGATTTTTTACGATATCGCTCGTGCTTCTCCCTGTGTTTTTTTTTTTGTTATTCTTAAAACCGGTTTATTGCTCACATTTGCTTAAGCATTTATGACCTAAAAGAAAGCGTGTTCATATTCTAAACGACCTTGAATGGTTCAGTAAAATTCAAGCTTCACATAGCACTTCTCCCTCGCTCTCTTAATTAAGCAGGCATTGTTTAGCTCTTCTAATATGTAAGGGTTGCGGTTTTCATCTGTATGTTCCATTTAATGAGCCTGTCAATCAAAAAATGCACCAAATGTTTAAAATTACTCTTTTCGCTTAACTTTTTTCTATATCTATTTTACACATGGTATATTTTTTGAAAGAGAAAAGCACATAAATTAATAAGTTGCTTTCCATGAATGGTTTATTTTGCTGTAGTAGTCATTTGAATGTATTCAAACACTTGAAATTCGTTACCCTTCATTATGGACGAAGACTCAACCTATTCACTCAAAAGTCGCATCTACGGATCCAGAACAGAGTCGGATCTAAATACTTATGTACACATAGATTTCGATCAAGAACTGACAAATCGAGAGTAGTTCTACAAATTAGTAAAATAGACACTTTTCTAGACATAAAAAGTGTCTTCGCTGCTTTTTCATCAGTTATAACCTCAATATTTAGATATAGATCCTAACCCCTTACGTTGAAGAAAATTTGTTTTAGATATCGATCATTAAATCATAACATCTAAACATCACAAGATATATTGTAGGTTCTAAATAAGGGGTATATTCTAGACATAAAAAGTGTCTTCATTTCTTCTTCATAAATTATAACCTCAATATTTTAGATTTAGATCGAGGGATCCCCTCACGTAAAATAAATGTTCCGAACACCACAAGATATACTATAGGTTAGATACCTTTTCTCCAGACATTAAAAGTGTCTTCGCTGTTTCTTCATGAGATATGCTACAGGTTATAAACATACCCTTTTTCTAAACATAAAAAGTATGTTCAGCTTTATCAGCTATAACCTCAATGTTAAATATAATTAGATTATAGGCTCATAATCTCTCACGTAAAATATAAATTTCAAGCATTACAAGATATGCTATAGACTCAAAAGACTCACGTTCAGCTAGCTTTTACTTTCTTCTTCACTTTTTAGCTCACCCTCGGCTCATCTAACCTTACTTTACCACTACATTTGTTCCATGGATAGTAAATTAAGTGTATTTTATTGCTTAACGTCAATATATCTTAAGGAACAAAACCCTAAAAGTTAGTATACTTTACCTTAGCTCAAAAGATTGAGGTTAAGTTCGGCCGACCATAGTTCTATAGTGCTTACGATTGTGATTAGCATCTTTAAAGAGACATTGTTAAAAATAACGTTACTTGAAAGGTTTGCATGACTTTTATATAAAATAGTTTTGTCACCCTTGTACTTGTCGATCGACGTAATTAAGACTCCATGGGCTCCACTAAATTTTGTCTAACGTTTACTTGTAACCCTATATGGTTCATACTAAAGCTCATATGTCATTACAGTTCCGTTGCCTGTCGATAAGTTCAAATAATTTGAATTACCACACAAGTTGCCTTATTTGAGAAAGTTTCTTACGAAACAAAGCAAAACAAAAAAACTTATGAATGAAATTTTCGTACTGTGTCGCAAATTGTGTACTTTTCGAAAATTAAAACAATGGCGACCAGTGGCGAGGAAAAATATATTATATTTATTATGTACCTACCACCAAAAATCTGCAACAACTTGTTCCGGCATACGAGGGTCCATAAATTACAACGCCGAACTAAGTACGTGACATGCATGGATCATTTGAACTGTCAGTGGCAGCGAAATTCCATTTGGTGACAGTTACTCCAATTTTTCGTACTTTTTTTTATGCTGCTTCCTCTTTCTTTTTGCCATGTCATTTACAAACGCATTTTTGTTTTAAATACAACATGCGTGTAGCCGCTACTTCTGCTTGTCGTGATTGACGTGAAAACTTTTACTTTCGTTGCGGTAATGGATGCGAAAATTTACGTAAGACTTTCCGCAAAAGGAAGTTCTACGCCAAAAATGAAATATTTTATTACCAACATATATGTAGTGTTATTTAATGAAAATGAATCTTAAAGCAGTTATAAAGCAGTGTCGCATTCTAGTGCTTTGAGTACACTGAGTTCGTGATTACCAAACGGTAGTTCGTGGGTTTTAAACACGAAATTATAAAACAATTGTAAATATCAAATACAAATTACAAGCTTTCCTTCTGGTTCTCATATTTTTTTAATATTTTTTTCAACGACCTTGACGTTCTTTCTGCACCCTATATAAAAATTTATGATGCACATAATTGCTGACGACAGCAATCATAATAATATTATTCTGCCGAAATAAAAAAACCAAAAACATTTTTTGTTCATTGTACTTTTCTAATATTTCAATCAACTTTTGAAGGTTGTCGTTTTTGTACTGTCACACTAAATAAGCTGCTCGCTTCCATACACATTTACTACAATATATATTACACATATATACATAGTTACATACACCTCTGTCAAGGACTGGCTAATAACTTTTTTGCACCTCATTTTCCAGTTGCTGCTTACGAAAATGTTTTATTTTAATGACCAAAGTGTAAATTACAGCGCTAAATACGTATGTGTGTGTGTATGTTTTCACAGTCATTTAAATTTGCAAGTGACAAATAATTCCACATTCATACATATCATATATCATATATATATACTATTATAACTAAATATATGGTATATTATTATGTATACCTAGACAATTTATGTAACATAACTGCCTCTCGAGCGCAAAAACAAAGTGTGTTAAGTATAGCAGCAACTTCAATTTCGTTACATGATACCTCAAAAGTCTTGAAAAGACACCACAAAGATTGCAGTGAACAACGAATAAGGCTAAACAATGCAAGTGGCCCTGTAGGAAACCCTTTTTAATGTTTATTTACCAGATATCAAATCAAAGTAGAAATACTAAGTAGCGTAACATAAAACATTTAATGCCGTTCGAAAACTCTCCTAGATCCTATCTATAGTTAGAGTTGTATCCAGTACGCTTTAAAAAGCAGGTGCGAATGCAGAACATCAAGTACCATCCTATCTCCATAGCAGTAAAAAACTGAGTCATAGTTTAAACAAGATTGTATCTATACAAAGAATCGACAGGTGCTGTCATCGCGGAGAGTCTGTGACGATTAAGGCTTCTTGTGTCTAAAATTCATTTTCAATATATAAGGTCTTATAAAAGTAAATCCATTATTTTTGCAGTAAATTGAATGATTTATTTAGCATAGTTAGATTGAGCCGATTAAGGTCAAGTATACACCCTTTAATTTCATAATATCGCTCACATAGAAACCTTCGTTCATATTGGCAAAAAACTGGCACATTCGATTTTCACAAGATTCTCTTAATACTAATTAGATATTAGATAGTAAGAGGTAGCAAGCACTTAGTACCGATCCGAGCCATAAGGTGGTACCATAAAAATCTCCCAAATAAGCTTCCGGAGCTTCTGGCAAACCACTATCTATGTGTGTAGTCCTGGCGTTGTCCAAACTTGCATCTTCAGGGCGATTGCTTCCTTCACTCAGTCCAATTGTTGATAGTATAAGTCTGATCAAACACATAGCAAGACCGTCGACCATGGCCGTTTTCGCTTGAAGTTGACGCAAATGACCCAGTAGTAAGTTTTGTGGACCTCATCTTTCCTCTCATGGCTAGGGACACGTTCTCGTTCTTTGTGTTACCCATTAACTCCTAAAAGTGGATTATCAGATCCTCATAGATTGACGAAGCGTTTTATCACAACTTTGTTAAAGCGGTTAATATCAATCTCAACCACTCTGCTAGGCACTCCAAAGATGTGTCGACCGAGATATTTCAATCTGGTCTGGCAAAAGTCAGGTAACAAAGGAGAAAGTGACAAGATGATTCCACCTCGCGTTCCTCCATAATTTGGCAAAGAGCTTTCGAGAAAATATTTAGCCGCACCGCGTGTGAACCTATTCGACAGTGTCCAGTCAGAACAGTCGGAATACCTTTTGCCGTCCACTCTGGGCCAGAAGGATCTCTCAGTCGCACAAGTTCAGGTTATTGACCAGCACTTTCCAAGCTCACTGCCGGTTCATCGGTCCAACTCTAGAACGCAAGAAAACACCGGTAAACCTACTCGCTTCCAATCGGATGTAATTGGGGTTATGGTGCCCACCCTAGCAAGCTTATTGGCTTTGCAGTTACCGGCGGTTCCACTGTGACCGCGCATCCATACACGTCTAATATCGAAGAAACTTCAGCGAGCTCAAAGCCAATATAGACGATCGGCTATCAGGTAAGATTGTAAGGGATGCAATCGAAGCAGTGCCCGGCGTCCCTTATATACCCAGCTTCCCTAAGTCTAATATCACCCTCCTCCGCAAATCATCTACCTGCTATGTCTATAGGTACAACCTGTAGAATGGCATTGAGTGGTATTGTTTGTGTTGTCCTTAGTGCTGCACAGATGTGAGCCGCTCCAGCTGCTTAGCTAGCTTTCTAGTCCTAACTCTTCTCCATGTCCCTTTACGAAAGTAAGCTGACGGGTTTAAAGATATTTTAGAATCGAATAAGGTATTAAGGTGCGCTCCATTATTATACCAAGGTATAAAAGCAATGAAAAATTTAAGAAAGACCTTCGAAAGAAACCTTCCTAAGCAATACCATCAACTGCTCCTACAGGGTTGGAACGTCAATTAATATTTCAAAGTGCGCATTTGGCAGTATGTGGGAAAAATATATACTTCGTGTGACAGTGTGTCTGTGAATACTACGTGTGCTGAAGGATAAATTGCAATTTGTTGCAAAAACGAGCGCGCATAAAATCGCAACAATAACAGCAGCTGCTATCTGGACTCTATACAAAATACTTCTGTATATATAATATATATAATATATATATATACAGAATGTATATTTGCTTGGGCCATGATGTAAATAAGAGAAAAGTGCTGCCACAAAAGCGGCAAAAGCTGTAACATCAACCTACTTTTGTTGCAAGCAGCAGAGCAGCACTTGCTGCAGATACACTTACACACAAATGTATGCGTGCTTGGGGCCTTATCTTGGCCGCCATACGAGCGCTTGCATTTAGTGGCAGCAGAAATTGAAAACAACAACAAACACATACACACCTGCATATGTATGTGCAACAACGCTTTTGTCCTTATATACATGGACGTAGGTGCATTTGTGCCCTGCTTCTTGTTTCGTCTTCATTCTTCTTCCTCTTCATTGCTCGCCACACACCTGCCGGCATAAGCTGCACTGCTGTATTGTTACATGTCGCTGATATGAATAATCGCTTGCATTGTTAGTCGCTGTGGCAGCATTGTACAACCGATCCGGGCGCTTTATTTCGCGCTAAAACATTTCATTCACTCAAACGAGCTGGATTTGTTCGTGCTGGTTGATTTGCGCATGCCGAGTTGACTTAAGGTGCTGTGATGTGCCATACTAAACTGTGCTATGCTATGTTATGTTGTGATATGCTATTATATGTTACGAAATGATATGCCATGTTATGCTATGTTATGTTGTGCTATGCTATGTTATATTATGGTGTGCTATGCTATGCTATGTTATGATATTCTATGTTATGTTAAACTATTCTATGTTATATTATGCTATTCTATGTTATCTTATGCTATTTTATGGTATCTTGTGTTATTATATGTTATGGATATTCTATGTTATGGCATGATATTCTATGTTATGTTAAGTAATTCTGTGTTGTTCTATGTTATCCTATGCTATCTTATGGCATTCTGTGTTATGGATATTCTATGTTATGTTATGATATTCTATGTTATCTTATGCTATTCTGTGTTATTCTATGTTATGTTATACTATGCTTATGTTATGTTATGCTAAACTGCTCTCCCATCCCAAGCTATGCTATCCCGCCGCGTGATTAACTCTTTCCCAGCACACATGTTGACAATTGCATTTATATGCGTGTATGTGTTTTTTGTTATTTTTTCCACCTGGTAGTTAATTTCCACTTTTAGTTTTTTCTTTAACTTCTTTTATTCCACTTCTGCTGCGATTCTTCAATCCTCGCCCATTGTTACATTTAATTTGTTAGCGAGTGACGGCGCAAATCGAATTGTAAAATGCCATTGTTGCCGTAATCCTTGACAAAGTTGGCGTGCAAAGCGAAAGCGCTTTTAAATGTTAAATAAATACACACACACACTTTTTATCGCGAATGAATTGTAATTGAAAATACAAAAATAAAAAACGCACTAAAAAGCAATGAGCACACACACACGCACACGCTTGCCCCTTACTCGTTTTAATTGATTTGTTAAGCCGCGCTTAATCCCGTTAAGAGGATACCTTTTAGGTATTTACACTTAATTAATTTACATGAATATGATTTTTAATATTTTTCAATATTTTCCTTTTTTCAATGTTTTGTGTTGTTTTTGTGCTTTAACAATGTTATTGCATTTGAATTGTGTGTGTGTGTGTGTTTGTGTGTGAAGTGTGTATGAATAAATTATATAAATTTACGTTTAAATGTGTGCAATTATATGTATGTGTGTGTTCGCATTTCACCATTAAAAATTTTTCTTCTCGTTATCATTATTAAATTTGTTAATTTTTTAACCACAATACATTGGTTAACACAACCAACGTTTTACAGCCAACAAAAAAATGTTTGCTAGTTCTTTCTACTTGTTTTTAGACGTGTGGTTTCCATTGAGGCTTTACCTTTATCAGAGTTGATTTTTTTAACAGCTGTTAGTTCATTTTTACTCAGTTTTATTCGCCATTTCATCATTAACAGACTTACTCCAGGACAACGTTTGGTAATCGTGCAAATTTATTACCAAAGTAATGGTACAGTATTCGGTCGACATAATCGCCCAGCAGAGTCCGCAAATCGAACAACCGCGCTCGAGCTCAACAATTGGAACTGATTCATCCACTTCTTGAACGATTTTGCGGAAGAAACTTGGTTTGCGGGTTTACAAAATCCAACTCGTGCAAGAAT